GGTAGTGTGATGGTTTGGGGTTGTTTTGTTGCTTCAGGAACTGGAAGGCTTGCTGTGATAAATGGAACCATGAATTCTACTGTCTACCAAAACATCCTGAAGGAGAATGTCCGGCCATTTGTTCGTCAACTAAAGATGAAGCAATCTTGGGTGCTCCAGCAGGACAATGACTCAAAACACACCAGCAAATCCACCTCTGAATGGCTGAAGAGCAACAAAATGAAGACTTTGGACTAGTCAAAGTCCTGACCTGAATCCTATTGAGATGCTATGGCATGACCTTAAAAAGGCGGTTCATGCTAGAAAACCCTCAAAGCTGAATTACAACAATTCTGCAAAGATGAGTGGGCCAAAATTCTTCCAGAGCGCTGTAAAAGACTCGTAGCAAGTTAACGCAAACGCTTGATTGCAGTTATTGCTGCTAAGGGAGGCCCAACCAGTTATTAGGTTCAGGGGGCAATTACTTTTTCACACAGGGCAATGTAGGTTTGGATTTTGTTCTCTCCCTAAATAATAAAAACTATCATTTCAAAACGGCATTTTGTGTTTACTTGTGTTATCTCTGACTAATGGTTAAATGTGTTTGATGATCAGAAACATTTTGTGTGACAAACATGCAGAAGAATAAGAAATCAGGAAGGGGGCAAATAGTTTTTCACACCACTGTATATCACAGTTTTCACACTGTATGAAGCAACACTGTTAAAAAGAGAAACACTTTTGCTGCAAAAATGTCTGCTTTCAGTAAAAGGATGTCTGCTGTCTGTAGAATCTGTTAAAAAGCCCAGAAAACTCCGTAGTGTATCACGATGATGTGGTGTGAAATTTTTGTCCTAAATTCTCATCAAGACATTTTTAGTCAAACGAGAAAGCAGTGTCTTTAGGTGATCTGCACAGGGAGAAAAACACTTCATACAGACAACCACTTAGACTAATGTTTGCATAAAGTTGTGAAATCAACGTTCCAACACAGTGACTACAGCAACAGAACAAGCTTGAAAAAAATTATGATTGCTTTATTATGGGTGGACAGTGATTTCAATGAGAAAAAAAAATCTGAATTAAATAGGAGTAATGAAACATTAGTGTTGATCTTTCATGAGTTTTATATGTTATTTCCTCTCAGCAGTAATAAGCACTTCAGTACATAGAATATTTGTCAGTTGTTGGATGACATTTGACATAGAAGAATGATATTTATTTAGTTATTTTTTCCTCATATCTTCACATAAAGAAAGATCACTTACTTTTACTTTTTCTTATATTACCCAACACATACATCGGTTTCAGATAGAATAGCTATCGTGTTGTGATTTCAGGAGATTGCCTCCTAAAGACCTTTCTGCAGTTCTGATGCATTTTAATAAGTTAATCAAATAAGATTTCAAAATAAATTTATAACCATGCATAAACAGTAAACTCAAAACAGTAAATCATCCCAATGTCATTCTGTCAATGTGTGTCTTTTTTGTAAGGCTGCCATAAACAACTATTTTAATAGTCGACTAAATGCCAGTTTTGTTGAAGATGTTAGCTAACAAGAGTTAATTTGCTTACAGATGCGACTTTTCGATACCCGCTATGACGCACTTCCTTTTAAGGTGCTTGTGCATCACTGATATTCTCCCATGAAAGGACAGTTTCACTTTGCAGATTTAGCTCTCTACGTGCTGCTCTTGTCTTTAAAATGCTCCCAAACTTTGAGCTTTGTTGCCAACTCACCACGATGTCTTCTTTCTCTGGTGATTCTGATTCAGAAGCGGATCTGGATGGCCACTAGTGCACGTGTGCCTCGTGAAAGGCAGAAAGCAGCTGCCAAAGGTACAGCAGCAGGCGAGATTAAAGAAACGCTCACAGAATAAAAGACATTGACTGTTAAATTTAGAGTCGACTGTTTTGTTTGACGTCATCGGGATGAATGGACCAATCATGGCATCACTACATTTTGTGGGAAATATTTGTTTGGTTCTAACTCCTCAGGGTGTTTCATTGTTAAAAAAAACTATAATGTACATGTATTTTTCTTTTGCATATATTTCTGTGAGAGTGTTGTGTTTCTACAAAGAGCTGCAAAACTTTCAACTCTTGCGGGCTCATAGAATTTTAAATTTCTACGTTGTTTTGAGCCACAGCAGTAGAACCAGAACAAGAAACTGAGTGACATCAGACAGACAAGGACGCATATATATATATATATATATATATATATATATATATATATATATATATATATATATATATATATATATATATATATATATACTTATATTTAAGGAGGATAAAACCACTTGATCCTCCTGGAAACAAAGATGCTAATACAAAGACAAAACAATAGAGCGATAATTTGAATTCAAAACAGAAAGACAAATTAATACTACCACAATTAAAATAATAATAACAATAATAATAATAATAATAATAATAATAATCAAGAAATTTATAAATAATAATAATCAAGAAATTTATAAATAATAATACAAAATTTATGCAACAAAGAAGTTGGCTAATCAAGTAGAATAAATTGTATGAACAGATGTATTAAAGTACATTTACTTAAAAATATGATGACCAACGACGCAACTAAATGGTAGAGAGACAACTAATACTCAGCTCAGAGAAATTTAGGTTAAAAAGTATAGTATGAATAATGATGACACAATATTAATTCAAACACAGCTACAGATGGGTAATAAATAATCATGAATCAAAGTTTTAAACTGCCTAAAAGAAGTGGTGGATCTCATAACAACAGGTAAATTATTCCAGTCAGATGGAGCTTTAATAGAAAAGGCCAGCTTCCCTGACTCAGTTCTTCAACGGGGAACAATAAAGGAGGTATACAGAGTTCTATGAATATCATAGTGAGACCAGAATGGTATTAACAGAGTTGTTAGGTAAGAAGGAAAATTTAAATATATACTTTAAAAAAAACAACCAATGCAATTTCCTCCTAGACTCAGCAGAGAGCCAGGACAAACAATCGAACATATGACAGTGATGAGTATGAAATGGACAACGTAAAACAAAACGACACATGCTATTATAAATGATATCAATAGAGTGGAGTTGGGAAGCTGTAGAATTCTGATAAACTATGCCAGCGAAATCCAACAGTGGAAATAAAAGCTGAGTGACAAAGCACCTAATTGACCTATACAGAGTTTTCAGACTAAAGTAAATTTTATTTATGACAGTTTGAAAATGTGTCTTGAATGAGAGGTATGGATCTAGCCAGACACCAAGATATTTAATTGAGTAAGTACAATTCACCAGAGACAGATCTAGAAATTTAAGAATACATTTCCCTCTGGGATTAATAAAGTATTTTTGAATTTGAATTTGAATTTAAATTACCAGTAGAAGCGGGGGAGGTATGTCTTTTAAACAGCATTGAAAAGGGTTTTGATTTATTTAAAAGTAGCTTATTGGACGCTAGCCAATAGCAAGCAAATAATGATTAACCAAGTCAAAGGCCTTAGTTCAATTCAAAAAACAGCACCTGTAGCCTGGCTACTATCAAACCTGGACTATATGTCATTGGTAAGTTTCATCAAAGCAGTAGTAGAAAAATGCTTTCTGAACCCTGACTGATATGGAGAAAATAAATTATTGACTTCAATATAACCAGACAGCTGCTTAAATATTATCTTTTCAAATATTTTTACAACATTAATTATTGAAATTGGTATATATATATATATATATATATATATATATATATATATATATATATATATATATATGTTTGATGGGAGGTGCAGAGGAGCCAGATATAAAGTTCAGAGGCTTGCAAAATTGCGGAAAGAAAGAGATTAGAAAAAGTTGTGGGAGGGAGAAAGACTTTCAGTGCTTGGCCTAATTATTCTGCAGTCACTGCAGCAGCTATAACAAAAATGATGGAGCTTAATTTCAGCAAGGCGAGTGTAGGACAAAGATTAATCAGCTACAAAGAGGCAGGAGATGGCCCTTTACACAAAAATCCCTTTCTCTCTCTCTCTCTCTCTCTCTCTCTCTCTCTCTCTCTCTCTCTCTCTCTCTCTCTCTCTCTCTCTCTCTCTCTCTCTCTCTCTCTCTCTCTCTCTCTCTCTCTCAGTACATCAGCTCTTCACTAAAGTTTGGAAACTCTATTTTAGTCAATCATGTGTCCCCTTTAATAATACCGATTGGTTTGTAATTTGGCATTGGAAAGCCTAGTTTACTTGATAGCAATGAAAAAAGATTGTATATTTGTGAAATGAGCAACACAGCTAAATGTGTGGGTAACCCCCCCAACGATGGTCTTGGCAGCAGTGTAGTCTGTTCCTCATCATCTGATCTGAGATCTGCCTGTGGTACTATTGAGCAAATCTTGACTCCAAATCTCTGATGGATAGCCTGCGGGAGCCTTCTAGTTGTCCAACTGCATGGACCTTACACTAAAGGGACAAATGTGGCATGTTTATGCTTTGAGCTCTAACTCAACAAAGCTGCAGAACTTCTACACGCAAGAGCTGTCAATCAGGTACCAGTCACACACCTGCGACTGGCACACACCTGGCAGCACTGAAGGCTCAGAACAACAGTGATACCAGAGTTTTATTTTCCCCACCAAACCAACAATGAAAATTGTTATTAATTCTTAGCATTTTCATATTTTTGCTTTTCAAATAGGTGATATTCCTCTCATTATTACTTTTAAAAGATATGCCAACTTTGATATTTTGAAATCACGCAAAAAATTGTTTACTTACTGACAAAATTCCAAGAGCACACATATTTTCCTGTTTTTAACACAAACTCAGTGCCTTCTTTCATTTTCTTCTGTCAGTTACATGTTGGTCTGCATTTCCACTTGAAATGATATGACAAAATACACAAGGATGCTTGACAGAGCTGCTTTTTTGTTAACGAGGGAGACATAATATTCCTGTCATGGAGCTGCCTCTGCCAGGCAAATGTAACGTCTTTGTTTTGTCGACATTCCGTATAAACTGCAATTTGTTTGTGTTTTTCTCCTCTAGGTAGTGGGAGAGTGGCGCTTTAGCAAGATCCACTGTGACATCTTTGTCACTCTCGATGTGATGATGTGTACGGCGAGCATCCTCAATCTTTGTGCCATCAGCATTGATCGGTGAGTGTGCCGTTGCACCGGCCGTTTAGAGCACTCGCTTGTGTTTGCAGCAGCATGGAAATCAATAGAAGTGTTTAGCTGCTGAATAATAGAAAGGAATTGCAACTTTTCTGTGCATGACTATCAAGGTCTACGTGTCTGTTTACCAACCAAATGACTTTGCCAGACATAGATTTCACCCTGCACACAGCCTGGAAGGGAAATGCTTGTTGTAATTAGTGGCTACCAGATGTCCCAGCAAATAAAATGCACTTTGCAAATAAAAAGTGCAAATATTCTCATGACAAACGAGTTATAAAAAATGAAATGTGCTGGTATGTCAGAGAGCTTTTAAACAACCACATTTTGGCATAAAAAGAGGAAAGATAAAAGCACAATAAATAATGTGTTAATGCTTCAGATGTGAACAGGAAGTAGTTTATTTTGAAATTTCAGCGGTACCCTAGAATTTATCTTTCAAGCAAGGCTGTGTCTTTAAGAAGAGCAGTTCCCTTGAAGAATGATAAAAGATCTCCCTAAACATATAAATGCAGAATTTTTTCTACCTGATGCAATTTGCATTCATAGATTTTGTTGTGTTGATTGAGTTTAAAAAAATCGTACATGTTGCAGGTTTTGTCTGATGATCTTGACAAACTGGAGATAATAAAACAGGCTCAGTGCTGCTCATAAAAGCTGCATCAAATACTTTAAATGCATGTATTCACACGTTACTACTCCCTGATTCCCAGAACTGCCCTTTCATTTGTCCAGCTTTGAGATGCTGATTTTGGACATGCAGCTAATAAAAAAGACGACAAACTAAAATGTAATTCAACATTTAGTAAGTTCCAGAAATGTTGGGTTTTTCACATCACTTTGAAAAGCAAAAAATAATTAAAACACACGTCAAAATGGCAAAAATATTTCTTCAATGCTTTCCACCAAAGCCTCTTCTTCAAAATGCTTTTGCCCAAGTCAGCACCATGTGTCTACATCATTACAGTAAAGACGTTACAGCTAAGGAGACATCGCCAGAAGAATGAATGGTAAATGGTAAATGGCCTGTATTTGTATAGCGCCTTCTTAGGGTTATACAACCCCCCAAAGCGCTTCACAACACAATCAGTCATGCACCCATTCACACACACGTTCACAAGCTGGTGGGGATGAGCTACGATGTAGCTACAGCTGCCCTGGGGCACACTGACAGAGGCGAGGCTGCCGAGCACTGGTGCCACCAGTCCCTCCGACCACCAGCAGGCAGGGTGGGTTAAGTGTCTTGCCCAAGGACACAACATGGAAGTTCTAACCTCTATATAAGGACATGTAAGACATAGTAAATATGTATTTGTGAGTTTCGGCATGCTAGTCAAGCTTTTACCTTGAACTAACATTCATTCAAAGCATGACATTTGTGAGATCTACAGTATGTCACAATAAGTGATTACTTACTCATAAAATATCACTTGTAAGTCGTTTTGGACAAAAGGGTCTGCTAAATACATAAACATAAAATAATTTAAGGTGTGGATGGCTTGTCTCCATTTAGCTTCTCTGTCATGTAGGGCATAGTAAATACTACGAGTTCATTTTAAAGGTGACTCAGCCTTCTTTGTTATTTTGTTAAAAACATTTTACTTCTCAAAGTGAGAAAGGTCATCAGTCAGAATATGAAACATCTTAAAAAAAGATTACCATTCACCTTAGTGTGGAACACCAAACCCCATATATCGGTCACTCTGAGTGTTTCATGCAGGCTGAACAGGAAAATAGTCCCCCACACATCTCTCTTGCTTTAGCTTCTGTATTTGAAAATCTTGACAGATCAGACACTTAACATTTATGGACTCACCCATCCTGACTCATGATGAGGAAGGCTGTTGTTGGTTTATCATCCAATTAACAGCAGAGAACGTGTGTGCTAGTAGAAGCTAACGACTAGAATTAGCGCATCCACCACACGGCAGAACTCCTCCAGTCTTGTGGTATTTATGGTGATAAAACATCAGCGTTGCAAGTCAGTGATAGAGTCTCTTTGCTGTTATCCAATCCGAGGCATGCTGTCCAAATATCAGGAAATAATACTCCAGATCCTGCCGTCTGAAGCTCAACTGTGATGTAGCTCATTTCTAGTTCCCAGAAATGGTGCACTGGTAAATTATTTCCCCCGAGAATGACTTGCAAGACATTCATTCCTACTGCAAAAGTATTGATTAAACTTCAATTCAATTCAAGTTTAATTATACAGCGCCAAATCAAAACAAGAGTCATCTCAAGGCACTTCACATGGTAAACATTCCAATACAGGTCAGTTCATTAAACCAATCAGAATAAAGTTTCCTTTTTAAGGAACCCAGCTAATTCCATCAAGTCACTGACTAGTGTCAGTTTCTTTTTAGCAATCCTCATACTAAGCAAGCATTTAGCGATAGTGGAGAGGAAAACTCCCTTTTAACAGGAAGAAACCTCCAGAAGATCCTGGCTCCGTCTAAGCAGCCATCCACCATGACTCACTGGGGATCGAGAAGACAGAGCACACATACACACACACACACACACACACACACACACACACACACACACACACACACACACACACACACACACACACACACACGCACACGCACACGCACACGCACACACACACGCACACTCTCTCTCTTTATTCTGCTCTCCCCACCTATTCCACCTTCCTCAGGATCCACTGATTTCCCTCTTTTCTATTCACTCTCTCTCTTTCTTAACATTTTTCTTTTAAATCCCAATTGCCTATTTTTGCTCATTTTAAATATATTTGTAAACATTTTCTAAATGCTTTTTTATATTTTTACATTTTTTTTTGTTTTTGTGAAGCGCCTCGTGATTTTTATCTTGAGAGGCACTATAGAAATGATATCTTCTTCTTCTTCTTCTTCTTCTTCTTCTTCTTCTTCTTCTTCTTCTTCTTCTTCTTCTTCTTTCTTCTTTCTTCTTTCATCTTTCTTCTTTCTTCTTCTTCTTTCTTCTTCTTCACACACACACACCAAGTGATGTTTCTATGGCTACATTGTGATTTCTTAGGAAATATTCTATTTGGTGAAAGATAAACTTTATTGTATTTATATTAGTGAATCTATAATTAAAAGGTAAATTAGTAGTAGCACATTCAATGTCAAAGAAAGTAAAATGCTATTATCAGGAGACGGTGAATGTTTAAGTGGTTAGCAACAGTGTTCAAGCCAATGACCCCCTCCATGAGGGCACCACAGCTTAGCAGAATATCACTGTAGCTCCTTCTGGAGAGATAAACACTTAGAGAAAAAATAAAGTTACAGCTGAAATAGCAGAAAATAATACAGTTAAAGAGCACATTGTAGAAGAAAGTAGTCGAGGGTGGAAAGTGGTCAGTATGTCCTCCAGCAGTCTAAGCCTGTAGCAGCATAACTAAAGAGATAACTCTGGATAACCTAGCCTTTTAGATGGAGGCATGTTGGAGGCAGGACAAGGGAGAGCCGTCTTTATCGACTGTACAGTCCACCAAGTGAACCACTCCCTTAATTTTAAACTTGATTTAAAGTGCAGTGTAACAGAATTTAAACTTAAACTAAGATTTAATCCAAGTTTAAAGTTTAAGCTTGTGGGTGAAATCTAGCTTAAGTGTTACAATATGTACAAGAGTTATGCTGTTTCTTTGCTAGAGTTCATCCTCCGTTATTCGTTATTCCCAACAGTCATTTAGTCATTTACTGTTGTTAATGGAGTATTGATTCATCAATCATTTTGCTAACTGCAGAGGACCATTTCACTGGAAATCTGTTCCTCTGGAAAAAGCCTTCAAGTGTGAATCATTAGGAAGTGATTGCATAACACTGACCAAAGTCTGTATTATAATAGCAAGAGCATGATGTTTACTCATTTTTCACTTCATGCAATTGTGCCATGTTTAATTTTACAATATTTTCTGCCCAGCTGCTCTTTAGATTAGAATGTATGTGCAAATTAATTACTCTAGCATGGTCACACATGGAGACAATTCCAGCCCGCAAAGCAGGAAGTGACTTAGAAAGCAGGTGATTCATACATTCTGAGGAAATCTGGTTAATCTGAATAATATCATGGCAGATTTCTGTTTGTGTGCATTGTAAACTAGTGTCCCAAGGATAAAGGACAGGAGTGGCGTCCACATTTACATGTAGATGTTATTCATCTGACTAGTGGCAGCTTGCTGCATACTCGTGAATACAAATGACAAAAGAGATGCCAGTGAGATGATCTAGAATCACATCCTCTGGCTTTGGTGCGTTTCAGTGTCCACCCATAGGAGACAGTGTTGTATAAAGTCCTGATAGCTCTCGCAGATAAATGTGTTTGCTTTTATCAGTTCTGCAGCTTGGAGAAGCAAAATAAGTCTTACATCAAAAGATTGCATCTGTTGTGTTTACCTTTATGAGCATGTGCAATTTGAAGCACACACCCAAGTGAAAAGGATGTAGATATTAATATCTGAACAATAACCCATCAAAGCTTGCTCTTCCTCTTCAAAAACAAAAGAACTGACTGACAAACAGCAAAACTCTTCATGTGGGAGATGACACAAAAACATAGCAAATGTGATTATTCGAACAATCACTGTGTTTCTGCTGTTTGTCTTTGTTGCTAAAGCACATTTGTTTAAATTGTGCCTTTTTTCTAATCTAAACAAACTTCTGCAAACATTAACTTTTAAAGTTAATACTAGCAAGAAAATACAAAAATTCACAATCAAACCACTATGAAAAAATAATTACTTCTCTTCATTTCTGTTACAAAACATCTAAAAATGATACAGTGAAGTTTTAAGGATGCATCCATCCATGTTCTACTTCTAGTGGTCACAGGGTTTTGACACCTTACACACCCAGGCTCAAACATATAGTTACCAAATCATCTAGCTAATCTGGCTGAGTGTTCAAACCTACAAATGATCAGGAGAGCATGCATTTTGTGCATAAAAAGCCCCAGATGGAAACACGGAGCTTTCTTGCTGCTTCAAGTGGCAA